CCCAGGGGTCTCCAAACCCAACAAAATCTTCAATGATCCCTCAATGCTCATCTCTCCTTAACTCACGAACAAATAATCTCTCCCCAGATGCCCACTACTCCCTAAACTTCCTGTCATTCCCAAAGAGGTCACCCTCAGCCCTCTGTCACACACACCCCTCCCCCCCTTTCTTCAGTAATGAGGGGAACAGCCTTAGCACCATGCCCTAAACGGCAACAAACTCTCAGTGTTGCTTCTGCTTACGATCTTTAGGCCCAGAGTACTCTCCTTCTCAACTTTCAAGGTTTACAGCCTATCCTCCAAAGACAGGGTCAGACAGGGTCAGACAGGGTCAAGATAGATGCTCAGTCCTCAAAAAAGGCATCCATCCTTCCTGTGAGCAAGTCCTGATGCCAGACATTGCACCTGCTAGATTCTAAACTCCCTAACTTCCCCTCTCACTACCTACAGTACCTTTCCAGGTGTAGGATTTTCCTTCTCCTAGTCAAGACATTTGGAACACCAGTCACTGTATGCTTACAAAATACAAAATAACAGGGTAACCATAACCCCAAGGAAAAAACAAAAATGGTCAAATAAATATTAAAAATATTATATATAATATAAAAATAATAAAACCCAATATAACATAAAAACAAACATTTTTTCTGGTTTTGTTTTTTAAACAGTCACTGTCCCCCTTTGATGAAAATAATTAAAATTCACTAGATTTACTTAACATGCACAAGATCACCTTATAAACACTTTTTTATAAATGGTATTCTGAATGAAACCTTGTAAACTGAAATTCACAATATTTTTCTTAAGTTTTAATTTATGAGCATTCTTCCCAGTGATCCCTAAGAAACCTAATGCAAAAAATATATTTCTCTGAATAGGACATATTCTGTGTTTCAACTCTTTCCTTTAAGATAGTTATACACTGTTCGCGGGGGCGCCTGGGTGGCTCAGTCGTTGGGCGTCTGCCTTCCGCTCAGGCCATGATCCCAGGGTCCTAGGATAGAGCTCGTATGGGGCTCCCTGCTCGGCAGGGAGCCTGCTTCTCCCTCTCCCACTCCCCCTGCTTGTGTTCCCTCTCTGTCTCTCTGTCAAATAAATAAATAAAATCCTTAAAAAAATTTTTTTTAAATATTTAAAGATAGTTATATACTGTTCAACTATACCCAGACTATTTACCAATTTTGTCAACGATAGAGAAAATTATAAACCACCCCCTAAAAAAGTCACTTTTAACAGCAAAACCCAGAAAACTCCCTCTTTTTACTCACTCGCCTCACATAAATACAGCCTTCTCAAAATAAGCAACCACAATCACTAAAAAATAAAAAGCTCATAGAAAAAACAGAAAATAGAAGATATAGCAATGAAACAAAGGAGGGCTACAGGTTGGTCAGCTTAAAGGTATTTTACCTGAATTTATGTTAAGAAAAAAGCTTCTTTATAAACAAGTTATTACAAATATTTTCCCAACTCAGATGCTATTCACACTAGTGGATGTTTAGTAATAAATAAATGCTAATATTAATAATCTAATCCCCAAACCACCACATGCAAACCATGCCAACAAATCCTAAATAAACTCCTCTGCATAATATAAATCATTCTAGAAATTAGACATTGAAAGGGAGACGCAAATGGAGATGTTAAATGCTTCTCCTATTTCTACCATCTACCAAGACTGAACTTCCCAGTATCAGTTCATATTGTGATGCAAGAAAACATCTATGAAAAATCAGGAAAACCTTAAGACTGAATATCTGATACTATGGAATTAACTTTTTAGGTGTCAGAATGGCACTGTGATTATCTGAAAAACAAAAACAATACATACTTAACTATTTATGGGTGAAATGGTATCTAGGCTTTAACCTTAAAATACTAACGGAGAAAGACTATAAATGAAACCAGATCAGTCATGTGCTGATTAACTGTTAAGTTGGGTGATCTCTCTCTCCTTGTGTATGCTTGAAATCTTACAGAATAAAATAGAACTGCTGGTGAGCAAAACCTCAGGCACTATTTTGTATGTGTGTATGCCACTTTTGCACAGATTTCTTAATTTGTTAGGTTTGCATAATTTGAGAATTTCTTCTCAACTGTACAGACTTTGTAGTCAGAGAGCTGTGTCACCGCCAGTATCCCAAATGCTTCCCAACTGCACCGCTCAGCAAATCTATTTCAAAAGCTTGGGGGAAGGAGGGGTGGAACCAAAGGAAATGAAGAGGGGGAAAAAATTTAACAGTGAACCTGCCCAAACTGTTACCATAAAGAACTCCCACCTCTTAAAGCCACTTAGTACACATTCAGGTTTCACTCTTTCTTTCTTCTTACGGTTTAAAAATGGACTGCTGGCTTCTAGTTCACTTCACTACCCTTCACATCCACCCATGCTGACCGAGGAAGATACAAACAATCCAACTACTGTGTAACCAGGTCAAAAACAAGCTTTGGCTAACTCACTTGGAAGAGTACACTCACCACTTAGATTTGGCCAGAAAAACTAGGTTAGAAAAAAACGACTGGGGCTTAAACAAACACTGGGGCTGGGGAGAGTGTCTTAGAGCCAGTTACCAGGCCACTCAGTGAGTTGCAACACAATCTTTTCCAAAATTTTCCAAAGGCTTCCAAATTCAGTTGAGCCCAGCAGGCTGAGTTAACAGGGCTTCCTTTCAAATTCAAAAATCTGGCCCCGGCCCCAACAGTTAACCAACAAAACACATGCTAATTCACTTGAGATCACCTAAGAATACTGACTCAAGTTCAGAGCACAGGCCGGTACACAGCCCGGTACCCAGCCCAGGCCAGGGGAAGTTGGAGCTGGGGAGAGGCGTTCAAGGGATAGATAAACCCTATTCATAAAGCATAAAAGAGACAATAGGATCCACACTTAATTTGGCCTAAGAAAATGTCTACAGTCAGCTTCCAACCCCCTCCCTCCATTTCTAATGAGACAATGACAATTCTTCATGGTGAACCACAAAGCCCTGCTCATATTTTTTTTCTAGCCCCTTGTATCCACTCTAACAGCCAGAAAACACCACCAGTGCAGATTACTTTTAGAAAAAGTTTAGCAATAAGAAATAAATCAGGACAGGGGAAATTTAACATTCTGTTTCGAATCTTCAAGGCCTGCGCCTCCATTACCTACAGCTCTTTCAGAAGCTCTAGAATGTGCTCTGAATAAAGTGAACAGCACTGTTAGTCACATCAGGTGTCAGCCACTCAGAGTAGACGCACAGTCTCCAGATTTGTTAGTTTCATTTACCGTTGGGAGGCGGGTGTTAAAAAAAGAGACAGGCCTGGGGTGGGTGTGAAATCTGGGCATCCTCTTGACTCCTCGCTCTCCCTCATCTGTTTCAATTACACACCTGTCAAACAGGTTATTCCTGGAATTCAGATTTTATAATCCTCATGCTGTAATTCTTCCTGCTCCTGGTGCCCAAACACACACCCCTCCCTGTTTCCCCAAAATATGTATGTATCCATCAGCAGCATGTATGATAAAGTTAAGAAGCAGTCCCAGGTAACACCAAACTCCTCACCTTAAGCACTTTGCAAACATTAAAACGAGGCAACACGAGGACAATTTTCAAGAAGGCCAAGGCAGTGGTTTAGGATAATCATAGGCCAGGCCTGCCTATACTGAATTTTAATTAAGACACACAAACTCAGACGGCCGGAATTGGGGTAAACGAAGAATTAAGGTCGCCTTATGAAAAAATGTTTTCCCATTTACTGAAGAAAAGTGCATGCCTAAGAGTGTAGCTTATTTCCTTATCTCAAAGCCAGGAAATGAGGTCTTTTAAGGCCAGCCTGAATATAAACTCCTGTTTAAAAAGAGAGGGACTGCAAGGCGAAACCCCTTTCCCAAGTTTGGCCAAGTGGCGTGGCCTCCAGTCAGCAGCGTGTTTATCACTCTTCTCCTCGTCCCCCAACAAGAAGTTCCAACGTGCCACGGGAAACAAAGACGGCGCCTCACACCGACCTTATAGACTTGTCCATAGGTGCCATTTCCAACCACTTCCACCAGCTCAAAAATCCCAGCAGGATCCTAGAGGAGAGGAGGGGAGGGGTTAGAATTTAAAAGCAGCACAACAATGAATAAATAAAGCGGGGCAGTTGGAGATAAAGGGCGACTGCAAGCCGGGCGGGCTTCGTCCCGCGCGGTCCCCCAGCGCCCGAGGCCGCGCCCGGGGCGCGCGGGGCGCGGCGGGGTGGGGGCGTCGGCGGAGGGTCGCGCCCCGCCGCCCCGCACATGCCGACGCAGGCAGACAAAGGGGCCGCCGCGCCCGAGGCTCTGCCCGCGGCGGCGCCCGAGCGCCCGGCGGGCCAGGGCGCGGCCCCGGCTCCCCGCTCCCGGCGCGCTCGCCGCGGGGCCCGTCGTGGCCACTCACCCGCAGGGAGGAGAGGTCGATGTCCACCAGACTTTTTGCAGGGGAGTCGTTCGCCATTTTCCCTTTTTGCCACCAAACAAAATAGTACCAATAATATATCTGTTTCTCTATTTATTTCCGTCACAGGCCAGGCCGCCGACGGCGCCTCCTCGCACGGGAGCGGGCGGCCGGGACTCCGCCTCGCGCGGCCGGGAGCGGCGGCGGCGGCGGCGGCGGCGGCGGCGGGCTGGTCGCGGTTCTCGGCCGGCCCGGGCCGCGCGCGGACGGCGGACGGAGCGTGCGCGGGGCGGCGGCGCTCACACCATGGCGCGGGGCGGCCGTCAGGCCCCCGGGCGTCGCCCGCCGCCTCAGGCCCCGGCGCCCGCGCCCCGCGCCGCGCGCCTGGAGGACGGGCCCGGAGCGTGGGGCCGCGGCGCCGCCGAGAGTTGAGCGAGTGAGCGCGAGGCAGCGAGACAAAGATAACCCGGGGGGCGGGGGCGGAGGCGGGGAGGGAGGCGGGGAGGGAGGGGGCGGGGGCGGCGGGGAGGGAGGAGGAGAAACGGGACACCGAAAATATATTCTGAGGAGAGAGAAAACAGCTCCCCCTCTCCTTCCCCGGCAGGAAAAACGAGCGGAAACGCACTCCCAGCCCGAGCCCCGCTGGGGAGGGCGCGGGGCGAGGCGCCCGCGCGGCGTGAATATTCAGCAGGGGTGGGGCCCGAACAATGGCCGGCCGGCGGGCAGCGCGGACAGCGGCCGGGACGCGGCGGGTGGCTGGCGGGGCGCTGGCGGAAAGGGCCAGAGTAGGGATGGGACGGACCGGGACGTCCGCGGTGAGGTGCCGAGGGTGAGGAAACGCCCCATCTCGCACTAACAATAAAGGAAGCAGAAGTGACCTGGACCCTGGCCGCAAGCGCACGGAGGCGGAGGGACCCTTGTCTCCGGGAAGGGCTGCATCCCGCCCCGCCGGCCGGCCGCGCCCGGGCTCTAGAGGGACGCGGAGGGGGTGTAGCCACCCCCAGCGACAAGGGGCCTGCCTTTCCCCTCACCCCCCGCGTATCCCATCCCTTTCCCCCACCGCCAGATTCTATACTCCTAAAACCCTCATTTCCGGTTTCCCTACACGGTTTTCTTTTCCTCTCTATCTTGCAGGCTACGTTTGTGACAGGCTTGTAGGTGCGGAATTCGTTGAGCATCACCTGGCCGCCGGGGCCCAAGGCTTTCGGGGGAAACAGAACCCAAAACAGCGCTGTCTTCCTTACCTCCCTCAGTAGGTGAGCACTATGTTTGGAGCCCTAAGTGCTAACCCCCCGTTCTGTGCCTAGAGATCGTTAAGGATCAGTGAACCGGCTTCTGCCAGCAACTTTGGAAGCTTGTCGGTAGTTAGGTAATTTGATCCTGTTAAAAGGAATATATTGTCTGTGCACAACAGTCATTTTTATCACATCACTCCACTGTACAAAAACTATCAATGGCTCCCTATTACCTCACAGCAGGTTCCCAAACCGAAGTGCATCAGAATCACCAGGAAGGATTGTAAAAGCACTGATTGCTGACCCGACCTCCAGAGTTCAGCAGGTCTGGGGATGGGCCTGAGAATATGAATTTCCAGCAAGTTGTCAGATGATGCTAACGTTGCTGTTACAGGGATCACACTTGGAGAACAAGAGCCTTACAGGATGAAAATCTAAGGCCCTTCACAATTAGGCTTCACAAACATCACCGTCATCATCATCCAGCAGTTCTTGCTTTATGTACAGTACTTATAGCCCTTGTGTATTAGTATCCACATTTTAAGGATAAGGAAACCAAAGTACTGAGAGATAAGAAATGTGCCTAAATTCCTTAAAAGCACAGCCTGGAAGTAGAACAGGGATTCTCACTAGGTCAGCCTACTCTGAAAATCCAATATTCTGATTCAGCCAAGTTAATCTTTTACCAGGAATATGTTTAGCACTCTCCTGCCTCTCAACGGTTTGGTTTCCAAGATTTTCAACTATGAGAATCCCTTGTAAGGGACTCCTGGAATCCTTTGATTAGGAAAATCATGGTAACCAACATGTTGCTATGAATTCAGTAGTACTTTTAAATGATTTTGTTTTTTAATGTATTCACAGCATTGGCATTATCTGTGGTGTAAATAATTATTTACTCAGCTAGGTTGGTGAGCATGTGAAATTTCAGACCATATTACTACTAATAGTATTTTAATAGTATTTATTATTAATAATAGATAACACATACTCAGTCCTGAAAATGTGCTAAGTCCTTTATATACATTATCTCATTATTCTTCACATTAACCCCGAATGGTAGGTACTCTTATTTTTCCCACTTTACACATTAAGAAACCAATGTTTAAAGAAGTTAATTGACTTGCTTGGTGTGCACAGCTGAACCCAATGCAGGAATGCAGCCCCTTCCGCCCCCCACCCCCAACCCCAAGCCAACCTCCCTCCACAGGTTCACTCATGATATTGAGGCCCAACTCAGACCACTGCCTTCTTCTCTGCCTGGCCAGATTCTCCATCACCTCAAGCTCAACTCAGAAACCAACTCTTCTTTCTCCTACAAGCTTTCTCTGAATCTCTCCTAAACTGCTATTGCCCATGTTACCATTGTGACAGTTACTTCTCATTTTCAATTCAGGACCTTTTCTTGAAGTGCCTTACCGAGCACAAGGCACTGACTTAGCCATTGCCCAAGATATAAGGAAGATGAAGCCAGCTACTCTCAAAGAACTTATAATTTGATAATGAGTATGAGACAGTCTCAGAAGTATCTATAGTTAAAGGCAGAACATTATAAATTCTGGCTGTATAGAAAGAACATTAAACAGGTCTAATGAAAAGTATGCTAGATTTGAGGCAAAACTGAACTAGGTTTGAACCTAGTTCTACTATCAACTGTGCAACCTTGAACATGTTTAAATTCTGAGCCTCTGTCTCTTCTTCTGTTTACGAGATGAAGACTAGGGCTTAGAAGAGCCATGAAGGGGCCATCTCAAGAGCACAGGCCAAAGGAATAAGGCCTGGAGAAAGGAGATACAAGGTTTTGGGCCAGTAAACTCTCTTAAGACTCGGCATCTGATGGGATGCCAGAGTCAGTGTAGACAAGGGGGTAAAAGATTTGCTTGTGGCCCAGAGCTTTGTTCACACTTGGGAGGATACTGTCAGGCACAGAGGAAAGGATAGGAGTTGTTGAGTGGTGGTGACAAAGGAAGGTTTTGGACTCTGTGGGAAGTTAGTTATCTTTTCACGCAGAAGCAGTGACACCTGCCCAGCTTGTAACTCTGCTTGAGATCCAAGGGTAAGGACCATTTTCTCAGTCAGCGGCCCTATGTTAGCCCAGGCTGCCATAATAAAATCCCATAGACTGTGTGGCTTAAATAACAGAGATTTATTTTCTCGCAGTTCTGGAGGCTAGAAATCCAAGATCAATGTTCCAGCTGATTTGGTTTCTGGTGAGAGCTGTCTCCCTGTCTTGCAGATAGCCACCTTCTCACTATTGTCCTCACATGGGTTTTCCTCAGTGCTAGTACACGGGGGGGGGGGGGGGGGGGGGAACCATCTGGTGTCTCATCTTCTAAGGACACCTACCCTATTCTATCAGGGCCCCACCTTTATGACCTTATGAATTTAAACTTAATTATTTCCTTAGAGACCCCATCTCCAAATACCGCCACGCTGAGGCTTAGGGTTTCAATATAAGGGGGACACAAACATTCAGTCCATTACAAGCCATGTGCAATACATAATATCAGCAAGTAGACTTAAGTCATGGCCCTTGTCCTTAAGAATCTGTCTGAGAACACAAACCCACCCAAAAAGATAATCAAGATGATAATTTGGAAAATAAATGCTACTTTGGCATTTTAGGCTGGCGGAAAAGATAGCTTGCTTAGACAAAGAACGTGAAGTTGAAAATGAGGAAACTGGCCACACTGGGCCAGAGGACTCACTCAGAGAACCCGGAGAGATAAATCTAGACCGGTTAGGTGGGACCAGGAGACCCAGCTGAGGCATGGGTGAGGTGGAGTTAAAAACAGAAGCCAGATTATCAGTCAAGTCAAGGAAGGAGCAGCCTAGCCTTGGCTTCCAAGAGCCCCAGTGGCAGGTTAGATGCTTATGTGTTTAGCTGGCTGTGGGATATAATGTGCATCTTCCCAGGGTACAATGGGCCAGTCGGCAATTATCTCACCCAGTCACAGAAATCCCAAGGAGAGCTGAATTATGCAAGAAGTTGTCAATGACAACCCCTGTATATCACTTTACTTACTTCCTAGTTTTTCCTTTGTTGCAAAAATATTGATGGCAATTTTTAACCTCAGTTTGAGGCAGGGCAAGGAGGGCAGCAGATCTGTGACACTGGACTGCATGAATATAACTTAAGAGCTCAGGGTTAGTGAGGACTTAGGACACCTGGAAATAAATGTTGGAAGCAGGGGGAATTGAGTCAAGCAAAGGAAGCAATGGTGGAATGTGTTCAGGAAAATCTCAAAAAGGGAAAAGCCTGGCTTAGGGGTCAGAGATCTGAGTTCCTCTTCTCTGATGGACAAGTTGTTAAGCAAATGCTCACCCTCTCTGCCCCTCAGTGTTCTAACATGTGAGATTAGGGGGTTGGATGGAAATGACTCTTAGGACCTTAGAGACTCCTATAACCCAGGCCTCAGCCCTACATCTGCTTATACCTCTTAGCCAGAGTGGAAAGGGGTTGATATGAGCAACGGAAATTCATGGAACATGTGGTTGCTGTAGATTTGGCAGCAAAGCTCAGTCGTTTAAAAGCCATCTTTGAGCATTGGTAGAGAGAATAAGAATCTTTTTTGACTGGCATATCAGTTGAATTAAAAGGAAGCAAGTACTCTAGTGCACAACAGGCTGGAAGGCGAGGGATGCAGAAGCAGATCAAATGGGCAACAAAAGAAGAAGCAGACCAGAGGCAAGACAAACATCCTACCCTAGCTACCAGGGCTATCAATGCTGTCACTTCTGTGATGAGGAAGTCATCTTAGCTCAGACCTCCCAAAAGGAGATCCTGACACAAAGATTTGGTGCAGGTAGTTTATTTAAGAGATGATTGCAGGAAGCCCAAGTGAAAGAGAAGGAAAAGTGAAACATGGAGATGAGCCAATGAGGAGTGTGTTAATGAGCAGGTTTTCACTCTGGGCAACTGGGCTAGATGTCCCTAGCTAGCTAGAAAAAGAAAATGTAGATTCCTCTTACTTTATGTGTTCATGGAAAAGTTTTTGGTAAACATATTTTTAAAAAACAGAACAGTATTTTAAACGCAGAGGAACTTGCTCTTTATAGAACACCTATTTGAAATGTTTTATGAAGGGGATTACCGTTTGTTTGTTTACAAAAAACATCCCCTTTTTGTAAATTTGTATTTTGCATGTAAGGATTGCTTCAATCAAGCTCCACTATGAAAAGTCCTTTACCTACAGAATCATCAAGGGGCCTCAAAAATGAAGTCAGAGATAGCCCTAGCTTTAGAAATCAAGGTGCAAGCCATAGGAAGTGGTTGGGAGAAGCCGGATGGGGACATTAAATAGTTGTCAAGTATGTCTGGTTTTGATAGATGGTTGAATGAGTGGAATCAGGCTCTGCCAACAGAAGGCCAAGGTAGGCCTGCTAGCTGAAGAGATAACAGACTTTTATTGATCACATATTTGTGTCCTAGGTCTGTACAGCGAAATCTCAGGAAGTGATTAGACCAATGGGCCTCTCTTATGCTCAGCCATTTAATATCTCACAACTGAAATAGGATCATGAGTTTGAATATGATGCATCAGATCCTGGCCAATATGCATCAGAACCTCCATTGAAGAGGAGTTCAATCATAATCAAGTTTATCCCTTTAAAAATGAATGAACCACAAGTCTCCATTGGTGATATGCAAGTTGGCCAGTGCTATAGATTTGCAGTTCTCAGTTGATTATAGTGATTCCGCTCTCAAAATCTTCTAAAATATGCTCTATAATAAAAGGTTAAGTGGTGACCTACCAATGATAAACTATGAACTGTAAATGCCATATTTATGAATTACAAAATGTGAGGCCTTTCCTATTCTTTTGAATAAATATAATTATCATCTTTATCTTCTTGTCTGTGTATATTCTATATTTAGTGGCCAGCTAACTTAGAAAATATCATCAGGACCAGATCAAGAGGCCAGCCATGACTGACATGGATCACCTGGATTTGTCCTAATTCTTGGCTACAGGCAGCTCCATGAGGTTAGTTGGGAGTGCGGACCCTGGTGCTGGGGAGAGGACAAGCTGGACAAGAATGTGTATCTAGATCAGCATAAAGTGTTTATCGCTCCTAGACATGCAACTCAGAGTCACAAAAAGGAAAGACCACTTATTCTCACAGAATTGCATCTTTTATTGCATTCGAACTTACCATTATTAGCTGCCTACCTGTATTCAAATTTATAATAGTACTTGTGGAGAAGTGTTACACAAAAATGATCTTTAGAATTCACAACTTAGCTTTTCAGTTATATAGAGAGGAGAAAATGCAGAGGAAGTGGAGTGCCAATAGATGGCAAGGGGAATTGAAGAGGGAATGCTCTGGATATGGCAACAACATAAACCAACTTATAAATGTCACCACCCATTTTGAAATTTCCAGGAACTGGGAACAAGACAGTCATTCAGAAGAGAGAACTAGGCCTAGGAAAAATTGAAAAGCTGTTTTTCATAACTTAATTCTTTACACACAACAGACCTTAAGAAACTCCCTTTCTGTATAGCCATTTTACACATGCAGTGGATGAAGAACTAGACGATGTGTTCTCTTTTACAAAAGGTGTTCCCCTAAGCCCTGGGGTTTCCTAAAGGCAGTTCAGGGGCTGCCTGGATCCCAAGGGAGGGTTAGGGACTTGGTAATAGGACTGCTGAGCTTGTTGCCTGGCCCTCTGTGCCATCACATGGGTTCTGCTTTTCTATGTTTTATAAATGGGGAATATGAGTAACAGTTTATGAAGATAAGGTTTCCATGGCTGAGAAAAGTTTGCAAATCACAAGCTAAGGTATACTTAGAACCAAGATTTCTACGATCCCATGACACAGATATCTGTTAGATTTATGCTGAGCTCAAAACGAAGCAGCACTTAAGGCATTTTTAAATCATGGCCATGAACTGAGTGGAAATGATGCAGGAGTGGGAATCAGGAAACCAGATTCTGGTTCTACCAGAGTCTATACTGTCACAGCCTGGTGTCATGAGACCAAGTAGTCACTAACCGGTTCACTAATTATCAAATGCTTCATTCTCATACTACCTCTTATACATAGATCTGAGAATTCCTGTCTTAAGTATGACCATGATCTATTAGGGTCTACCTGACGGCCTGTTTTTTACTAAATAACCTACCTCCAATTTCTCACACAGCACGATGTAGAGAGAATTGATGAGATGATGATTTTTAATTTCTTAAAGTCAGATCCAATAGAATGACTGAAAAAATGAAAACAGTAGAATAATAAAATAGAGTTGCCCAAAAATAATCTGGGCAACACTGCTTATATTGACAAATTTCAAGGATGTTTACCAAAAGTTTGTAGTAATATAGAAATGTGTGTTATTGTGCTATTTGAAAATATCGCTATAAGTTGGTATGAGATTATAGTCATAGCTGCACAAAAGTTAAAAACTATTTAAAGGAAAAATTAGGAGGAAATACATCAAATTTTAGTACTCTTTGGCTGGCAAAACTGTGAATGATATTTTTTTCTTCTTCCAAGACATGTTCTACAAATTCCCTCTACAAACATGCCTTATTTTAGGAATTAAAAAATATAAACTGACATTGTAAAAGAAAATGAAATAAAGTGATTGGATTAGTTTCCTAGGGTTGCCCTAACAAAGTACCACAAGCTGGGTGGCTTAAAACAACAGAAATGTATTGTATCACAATCTGGAGGCCAGAAGTCTGAAGTCAAGGTGTTGGTAGGCAACGCTCCCTCTGAAACCTGTAGGAGAGTCAGTCCTTCCCTGCCTCTTCCTGACTTCTGGTAGTTTGATGGCAATTTTTGGCATTCCTTGGTTCACAGCTGCGTAGCTCCAATCACATGGCGTTTCCTTTGTGTCTTCACACGGCCATCTTCTCGTAAGGACTCCAGTCATATTGGATTAAGGGTCCACCCTACTCCAGTATGACTATATCTTAACTAATTATATCTTCAACAACCCTGCTTCCAAATAAGAACACATTCTGAGGTACTGGGGTTTAGGGATTCAGCATGTCTTTCTTTGGGAGGACACAATTCAACCTATAACAGTAATCTAACCATTCTGATGTTTCTTATAGAAGTTAAAGACCATTATTCTTTCTGACCCTAATTTGGTGGTTTCCATTTTAGCACATGGATAGTTTAGAAAAGTGGTGGTTTTGATAGTTTTTACTATGACTTCTTCACCTGCTCTCTTGCCATCCCTCTCCTTATCTAACATGTATTTATTAGGCGTACACTGAGTTCGTAGCACTGTGTAAAACCCATAAAATTTAAAAATGACACAAAACTTCCTTCTAACCATTAGTTACAAGTAGCTTTCATTTACACTGTAATTTTCAGATAGACTGATGTTATAATAAATGACTTCAGCTTGCAAATCACCGTAAAGAATTATCCTAAGTTAGACTGTAAACAAATTTCTTAGACCTCTTTACAAATATATTACAGACAGAAAAAAAAAAAAGAAAAAAACTAAAGAGGAAGTGGTCCAAATAGAAATTAATTTTGCTTGTTGTAAAGCCAAAAGGAATATTTTTTGGCATAGAGTAATCCCCAGTTTGGTTGGGATATTTGTAAATAAGCTAAATGTTTTTAAGTAGTGTCTTACTGGCTTTGAACTATTCTTTGTGACTTTCCCCCACTGTGTTGCTAGAAATAGCTTCTTTTTTTTTTTAATTGAAATTTAAGCATGTTTATTTAATTTTTTGAAAGGATGCTGTCTTTTGCTAAGTTTGACAGAATTCCTTGACGTAATACTGTAACTAAGGGAATATATTGTGGCATGGGTAAAAAAAGGATGACTTTCTTTATATTTTCTAAATATGATTATATTGCTGCTGCATGCCTTTGGAAGCAAAAATATTTATTTCCCTTGTCACAGCCATGCATTTATTTTAATGATATTTATGAGACTCAATGACATATTCAAATCAGCATGTGTATTCCATTGTGCAGTTATTCCCTTTTATTTCCAATTTCTAGTTAGGAATGCTTTGTTTGTGTCTAAAAAGCTAAGGAAATTAAATGCAAGGCTCTGTCAATACAATGCAACTTTACTGTGTACAAGTCAGGAAATTAGAATATGTCGTTCCTCCAGCAGCTGGTATTGGGCTACTCGGAACATTGTATGTCAGAAAAGTTAAAGTGGGGCCCTTTTTTCTCATGAAGATTTTATCAGGATACAAAAGAATATCACTTCTCCCCACTCAGTGCACAGGACTCTTGGCAGGGCTGACCCAGCCAGATGGGAAGAAGGTGCCCTCCAGCTCTGGCCCCTGGGTCCTCAACCTTTTCCCCTCCCAACTTCCCTTCTGTACTCCGCAAGAAGGCAGCCACAAATCAGACTGACCCACTGCCTGTGCTGATGTCGCAGGGGGAGAGTGCGGCAGAATGCAGGGCTCTCCCGCCGCTGCTACTTCCTGGGTGCTCACCATGTGCCAGGCCCTATACTCAGCACTTTATCTGTGTTATTTAAGCCTCGCATGACCCTGTGTAGCAAGTACTTTTGCTGTCCCCTTGTCATCAACGAGGAAACTGAAATGCAGAAACGTTAAGTAATTTGGCCGTGATTGCACCTTTAGAAAGTAACAAATCCAGGATTAAAAACCAGATTCACGTGGACAACTCATGCTTTTGGCCAGTAAATTTTAGGTAACTTATGCGTTTTTACCAAGTTTTGGAAGATCTAATTCTCTAATGCAAAAGAGGGATTTTAAAAAATTACATTCTTTTGATTATAAATATACATATATTCATTGAAGAAAATACAGAGAAATAAAAAATACAAATTCACCTATAATCCTTACCAACAATAATTAACACTTAATATATGTACTTTGTTTTCATAGGCGTGTGTGTGGGTGTGCACATGTGTGCTCATGTGTTTAATATAATCAGAATTGTGCAGTTTGGTGACCTGCTTTTTTTCACTTCATATGTTATGCACATTTCAACATCATTAAATATTCTCTTACAATCTAATTTTTAATAGCTGTGTTGACTGTAATATGATTTATTTAACCAATCTTGTATGGTTACATTATTTCTAATCAGTCACTGTTCTAAATATCACACATGCTAGTATTTCCTTAAGTTAAATTCCTAGGAATGGAATTGAAAAATCAAAGACTATGAACATTTGTAAAGTTCTTGGTATATTTTGTCAAACTCTCTCCGAAAAGGCTTTGCCAAATTATGAGATGGGAAGGTTTGAAGACGGGTATTTCAAGTTCCAGTAACAGGCTGTAGTACAGGAGATATTGTGGGGAAACTGTAGACCACCTATCACTTCTCAAGACGTACCTTATGGGTAGGCTCCTGATGTCTCCTAGTGGGGTCCAAGAAGGACCTGTGGACTACCAGAGAAGGGCTGGAACAGAGGATGTACACTGCCTGTTCAAGGCTGTGAGTTCAGTGATCCCTGAGAAGCATGAAACTACTGCTTCTCAATAAGTAAAGCAGTTGCAAAGATTGCAGGACATTTACTAGTTAACAAAGTGTGTTCCTGCTCACTGTTTCCTCTGATCTTTGTCACAGCCTTGAAATGATACAGCTTTATGACCATTGGCATCTTGCAGAGAATGATGGTCAGATATAGGTGAGGGGACTTACTCAAGGTCACACCACTTCATGCAGAGAAGCCTAGACGATGTCTGGCTTGTCCTACTCTCCTATATCAGGCTGCCTCTCCTCAAGAGAAAAGCCTCTATGTAAAAGATTCTGTCACTCAACAAGTGGAAATACTTGGTATTATATTAAGGAACCGTTGAACTTGCTCTACAAGTAATTATCTTTATTTCTCTACATTTGCTGAATTCCAGCTGCATAGATGCTGTCCTAAACACAGATAGTACTGAGCTTTTGGGCTAGCAAGCTTGAGAAACTAACAAGCCTGGCAAATGTGAGAAATGAGTGGAATGCACTTAGTTAACATGGGGTCTGAAAAAGGGCACTTTGGGCAATTACATGTCTGGTTACACATTCTTGACAACTAT